CTAACCAAAGTGATTGCTAACAAATACTGAACAACTGAACGAGACCATTAATGGCGGGAGGAATGGGAGGAAGGGAGTTAAGTAGTAAGAGCGTGAGAGAATTATAGAGAGAGAGAGAGAGAGAGAGAGAGAGGAAATTAATGGCGGGAGAGGATTGAAGGCAGATGAGGCAGATGTTGGTGGCAAGTGAGTGAAATTAATGCGATTGATGGGTGTGCCAATCCAATCCAATCCAAGGGCTTGATGATATGATCAGTTAGCTTAGCTCTTCCCTCGTCATGGCGCCATTATGAATCAGCGTTGCTTTCAGTTTGCCAGTTAACTGTTTTTCATATGCATTAAGCAATCGCGACGCCATTCATATAATGCACCTACTTCCTTCCTTTTCATTTCTCTTAAAATCCAAAACTACCCCTCTTCTCTCATGTTGTGAGCGTATTAGCATGGTTTCTTCTGGTTTTTATACTCTTTCATTACTTAATATAAAATCTAATTATTAAATTGGTTTTAATATTAAATATAAGATTTATTTTTTATATTTACTAGTTTTCTTTAAATTACTCCAATGAATATTTCCTCAACCATAATCAAGTAGAAGAAGGAGATGGGATATTAAGAAAAATGATTATGGTGTTTTAGGAAAAACGCATCATATTTCTTATAATTAAATAACTTACCTAACTTTCTTAATCTAATAAAATTAGTTAAATAGGTCTTATATTAAGAATCATAGGTGTATATATATACTCCTCTAATATAATTCATAGAGCAGAGAAAAAGAAATTCCTAGTCACATCATCGGATTTTCAAAAGCAACGCAGTACTCTCTCTTGTACGTTGTATTAGGGTGAGGAAGCTAATTCACGTAAATCAATCAAAAAAAAAAATGACAGTTATATCATTACATAGTATAAAATTTTTGGAATTTACTCTTATACAAATTTTGAAGGGTTAGTAAAAAGTTATCTACATGAATAATACTCCTCCGGTCCTTATTATAAGACCCTATTTGATTTTTTATTTGATCCTAATTATAAGACCCCAATCCATTTTGTCTCTTATATTTACGTATTTTTTCCAAGATAATCCTTCTAATAATGATAGTTTTAGCCAATATACTTAATTAGCAAAGATATTTTAGGAATGACAACACTTATTTATTATAAATAACCAACTTAACTTACTTCCTTAATCTCCTCAAATAAGTCAATTGGGTCTTATAATTAGGACCGGAGGAGTAATAATTTATAACTAGAGATAAATTAGAAAAGAATTCGTTTATAACTCTATTGAACTCTTCTAATAAGGGCCAAAATTTTCTTCCGACAACTCCTTATAATAAGAACCAGAGAGAATACTATTTTATCTTTCATTTTAATAAGGGTATATACTCCCTCTTGTCTTTATTAAAAATTTTAGATAACTAATTTATAAAAAACAAAAAATTAGTTAATAGTAATAGATAGATTAAAAAATATGCTTTTGTTTTCAAATATTTTTTTTTTATAACAAACGAGAACAAACAAGAAAAAAATGATGAAAAAAATGTACGGAGGAATGGAATGAAAGAGAGTGTAGCAAATAACTGAATAAGAGAACATAAATAGCTAAGAATAAAATTAGAAAATAAATGTATTAAATATTGAGACAAACATAAACTGAAATTTATAGAATAGACTATGTTTTTTTTCAAATTTAAAGCTTATTAAACAGAGATAAAATTTAAAAATTATTAAATTTTAAGATACAGTTAATAAAGTTTAACTTTTTTTTCTTCTTTTCGGTGAAATACGTTTGAAAGGTACCTAAACACTCAAATTACAATTTTATATTTTTCATATCTTTATTTGATGTCTTCCCTGTAACTAATGTTGAGGGGCTTAGACCGACGTTAGTGGGGGCAGAATTTCAAAAAGGATTACGTGCGCCCCTCAAATCAACTGCTCCTCCCTCCAGTATTTATATCTAAAGAGGATTATGTTTGATTTTTTTTAAATAAAATATGTTCCTTCTAATCTTAAATACTTCGTTCCATGTTTATTATAAACTTCAAATAACAAATTTGCAGATAACCAACATCTAGTTAAAATTAGTTAAAAACGATAAATATGTTAAAAATATCTTTTATTTTCAAATATAGCCTTATAATAAATAAGAAAAAAGATGAAAGAGAATGTGTGTAAAAATATGATATGAGAGATTATGACAAGTAGAAAGAATAAATAATTAAGGACAAAATTAAAAAAAATACTAAATGTTAAGACAACAGCAAATTGAAATTTTAAATTTGGATAGAAATATAATTAAAACTTATAAATAGGACTGGAGCCATTATATGCGATGAGGTTTCAAATAACTTTTTGGAAATTATTATAAGGACTACAATAAAAGTCAATATATACAATAAACTTTCTTCTACCAGCAAGTTCTGACAGTTAGATCCCACAATATTGTTGTCAAGGGGTTTAATCCTTGATTATGTCCATGTTTATTAATTTTTTTTTTCAAGAAAGGTACTCTTTTGTAATTTTAATTGTATTTTGAAAGGAATTAGTTTTTGACTATCAATCCAGCAATCCTTTTATTATGCACAAATAAAAAACATTTTCACATGCAATGAAGTGTGGCATCTATCAATAATAAATAGGTATAATTTTATTCAAATACACAAAAATATGTTGAATTTTATGACCAAAAAAAATATTTGACCAAAAATACTTTAATTGACTTTCTTATTTGCGGCTTATTTTTCCTCACCTTCTTAATCATCTCTCTCAATTTTTTCCAACTTGTACACACTTTTCACCCATGCCCCATTTATGGCGCGGCAAGCAACGAGACCGTTCTCTAGTAAACTATACATCACACAATTCATTCAAAAGATAGAGAGAGAAAGAGAGAGGGATAGAGATAGAGAGTATGAAATATAAATGAGGATCCGTGATATGCAATTAATATCCATCGTATGAGTAATGTGGTATTTTTTCTATCACATTTGTTGACACTTAAGGACCGCATACCTTTACATTATTTAGATCTTGTTTCCAATTAATTTGTTAAATGGAAATTTTTAATCTATTTTTCCTTTTTTTTCTTTCCCACTTTTTGGTTTCCCCTGTTTTTATCTCTAATCCTTTCAAGGGAAAATCCATTAACCCATCCATTTTCTCCCCTGCATTTTTCGTCTCCTGATTTTCTGTCCATCAAAAATACAGTGAAAGTGGTCTCCATCCGAAATATAGCGTAAGTGGTTTTTCCTCCAAGGACAAGTTGCAGTTTTGCTTTGGCCATATGGGGTATGAAAATTCAACAAAGCAGCCAAATAGGTTTAGAACATTTAATACTTTTGTGAGGCCTTGGTCATTAGGCGTATTAATTATTGATGTTAACATGTTGTTAACTAAATGGTGACATGTGGAATTTTATTGATGAAATACTCCTGTAATCCTATTTATACCGCACTTACACAGCAAGTTTCATACATATAAAAAGAAAAAAAACCTTAAAACGTATTAACTCTGTAGTAAAATATAATAACTTTTTAACTTTACTTTTATTTAATATATTCACCTTTCAAAAGTATAATTATCTACATTACATTATAATAAATGAATGACAAAATTCATGCTAAAAATTTAATAAAGTGACTTGTAAATGGAACCTAAAAAAACTTATCTCTACCCTATATATATAGAAGCAGAGGATGAATGTCAGGATTTTAATGAACGAAATGAATTATCCCAAAAAATTAATTAAATAACTAATAGTAAGAGTTTATGTTGCTGAAATGTCAATGCACTATTTGATTATTTATGTTAATGGATGTCACTTTCGTCAATGAGTCTCCTTTGTCATGCTATTGACAGATACATTAATTCTCCATTACCTCTTTATTTGGACCGCAAGGGATGATAGCCCAAATATATCATAGGTGAAGTTTTATATTTAAATTTGATAGACATAATATTAAGAAATGTTTGGACTGAAGAAGTTGGTTTTGTTGTTGTTGACTTTTCAAAATTGATTATTGAAATTTTATTATAAGAATCATTATCTTGTTGTTATTATTATTGACTTTTCAAAATTAATTATTGAAATTTTATTATAAGAATTACTATCATAATCCTGATGCACAGGAAGAATAGCATTGAAGGACTCTTGAACCACCTTATTCCCATGCAAAGAACAATACATTCTAAACATCACGAAAGGATTAAGAGACTGAATTGTAATTGACGGCAAAAAAAAAAAAAAAAAACAGAGAGAGAATGAATTGTAATTAGACTTTTTTATTTTATTGATTACTATAATGCCCTTAACTTACCAAAAGGATACGGGTTCTTCAGCACAAGTAGTCTATCATAAATAAATATGCCAACTCAGTCTTGAAAACGTGTGTGTATTTTCCAGCCATAAAAACGTATATATAAACAAATAAAAAGTTAATCAGTATATAATATCAAGCCATGTTACTAACATGAGAACTATTTAATTAATTTAAGCATATTAAAAAAATAATTAAGTTAATTATTTATAACAAATATGAGTTGATTTTTTTTTAAGTACCATTTTTATTTATGACCACCGTTGGATGAAAACTCCTTATTTTCAAATGTATAATTAATAAAGACACTTTAAAAGATAAATTATAAATTTATGACATAAAATTTACCATATATATTAAACAAAAAATTCTTTAGTTTTGGTTAAGAAGTGTAGATGATAAAATTAAATGCCATTTGTGCAGCCATAAAATCGCTGCTCCTTTAATTTCTTTTCAGTTTTGACAAAAGCAGTTGACCGTCGTATAGCCATGCGCAAGTGAATAACAAATGATAAGGCAGTTGAATAGAAGATATGAGCTAAAGTTGGCAGATTAAACTTCCAAAATGCTTTCCAAATTCCTCCGTGTCTTGCTAAAGAGTTCATAATCCCAAGTACATGTCCATAATTGAAACCTAAGACTGGCTTCTATATACCCGATACAAATTATTTGATTATTTAACCACATAACGGAATCCCTGATATAACAAATCAATAAGGTCACAAGATTGAAGCTTCAACCAGACCACTCCAAAATGAATATCTAGTATTATAATAAAACAGTACAACACCAGCGCCAACTTCACGACCACTATCACCTTGAATAAATGGCAGATCATGACTCATGACTCTTGTGGCGTCTCAAATCTTGTTGGAGTGTCGATTCCCATCATACAGCAAAGGCCAGATATCAAAATTATGAGCAAAACTATCCCCTGTAACACGACCACAGGCATTGATATTAGAGCAACACGAGACAGTGCAGCATTTCCAACACCCTCATCACAGAAAAGAAGTCAAACTAGGGGAAGGCGGGGGGCTATAGAGGCAACCCTATTGTGATCAACCCAACTCCAGGAGATTGTTAAACAAAAGCAAATAATGGCCCCAAAAAAAAAATCGAAAGGGCCTACGCCTACAGAAGGCTATTTACTTATATGTTCTGTATGAGTGTGCACACCAAAAAATGAATAAAGTGAAAAATTAAATCACCAGTTGAAACTAACCAGAAAACCCGATAGTGGACAAAAAAGACTTTTTGAGATGAAACCAACAAACCAGGTAAAAGGGAAATCTGAAACATTCGTTTCATGATACAGCTAAGCTCCAAAAACAAATCTTGGTCAGATTCTACCATTCTATACTTGGTTTAGGGGTCTTCAGCAGTTTAAGTTTCCTTATAAGATTGGCTTACTCAAGGTAATTGCACCGGATGGATCCTTTAGTGGAATTCCAAGTTTCAATTCTATGCTCTCTACATGTTCTATAAGAACCATACATATTTGCGTAGACAAGAAAGATAATTTTGGCTTTTGATTACATAACAAGAGATATGGTAGGCAGATCTCAGAAAAAATTGAGCAAAAAGGCCTTACAACTATAAGTCCCTCCAGAAGCGATGATTTAATCTGGCAGACTTCATCACAGAGCGTAACATTGGCTGATAAATTCCCTGGGGTGCTTTCTGCCAGAAATCGTTGTATTTCCCTGTACGAAGGATACCGGCTTGACCTGGAGGGGTCTGACACATAGAGAACTGAGTATTTTGCTCCCGACTTCTCCACAGAACTGAGAAGCTCAGATAAGATTTTACCTGCACATATACACAGCAAAAACACAAATGTTTCACAGATAACACAGCCCTATCAAGCAAAAACACAAGTTTGCAGTATATTACCTTCAGACTGTGTATTGTCAGCATTTTCTGAGGGTAAAGAGTCTCCGTTACAAAAGACAACCAGATCTGTTGCCCCTTTGTGACTCTCTTCCATCCTCTTGGTTAGAAAATCCTATCAGTTATAAAAAGCAATAAAGAATCAGATCGTCATATCGATACAAAATTCCATAATAAGTGATGCAACACGGTTTTCTTATTACTTGGATTGAATGAAAATGAGCATTTTCTTTATGATTTGCATCCTCCATGGAACAAGATCCAAGGAAAGCAACATCACCGATTTCTAAATCATCTCCACATGCTTTTGAAAATCCTGAAACCAACAAATTTTCCAATTTCTCCTCCTCTGATGCTGAAACATAAGGGAATGCCATGGAAAAGTTGGATCTTGTGAAAGAAATCTGCTCAAGAGAAGAACCAAGTCAAAGTCAAAATTTGGAATTTCAATTCTTTTTAAAACTCAGAAGTATGCAATTCTCTCACCTTCAGTAATTCTAAAAGAGATGGATCTGCGGGTTTGTTCAAGCTTAACTCTGAAGATTGCAGCTGCAAGGAGATAAATCAACATTAGCATGCATAAGTACTTCATTTCATGCACAACTAATTATAGTTTCAGAAAAGGTTTCTTGAACTTTCACATCCAAATGATCATCACATTGATGTAACCATTTATTATTACATACCATCAATGAAGATCCAGAAATTTATTACAAGAGAAAACAATGAGAATCGGTTATTCAGTTAATGGAAATCATGAACAGGAATCTCTAAATCAAGTAAATTGGAAATGCAAGTATGAAAAATATCAAGATGAACTAGTCAAAGAGATGCTTCAAACGTTACCTCTTTGCCAACAAAAAGGAGTGCCAGATCCAGAGGTTTCTGCATTTCCTTTCCTTTGCACTATGTGATTCAAAGAAAGTTAGAACAAATACAACAACAGCAAAATTAAAAGGAATATAATAACATAGAGCAATGTGAGCTTTCACTACTCCCTTAAGGAAGAAAACTAAGGAAGTATTTAACATACATAAAAAGAAATCAATCAGAGAAAGCAGTGAACTACCAGCAAATTTGACCATCCTGCTTGTGACATAACAGAATTTGCTAGATCTTTTGGAGAAATAATCTGATAATTAACAGTTCCCTCTGGCCCATTGTTTGAAACCCTGTAACCAATGAATAAATAATTATCAGTAGTTCTACCAGTTCAAAAATCCTAGATTTTATTAAGAAAGTGTTTTAAGCTCATCAGCCAATTCACTTTTCTGCTTACTTTCTTCATGTTTCCCTCATCTTTATTACTAACCCAGGTATAATTTGTGTAGATGCTCTCTGCATCACTATTCACCAGAACAGTCGTCTAACCTCACCTATCCTGCTTTCTTACAGATCGAAACACTACTCATAATCTAACGCTTGCAAAATCTACATATTGTATTTTCTTTAGTTGTACTGACACAAACCACCTCGTCTTTCAAAATACACTGCTTTGCAACTCACTGAAAAGTTATATCTTACTAATCTTAATCTTAGATCTTACTAATATCTGAATGCAAATTTTATTTCACCTTCCATTCTAAACTTTAAATCTTACTAATATGAACCCTGGCCAGGTTTTTGCTTTCTTATATTCCTCTTGCAATCCTCTTAATCAGAGCCTTTTAGCACATGGCTTCTCATCCAAACATCTACTAACATTTCGCATACAGCCCTAACTCCCCTCTACTGATTAATCCCCGACCTCTGATAGCATCTTAGGCCAAACTTGAAGATGCAGTCCCCAGCATATAAGTTGCCTGAATCACACCAATTCTTGCATTGCTTTAGCTTTCCCATCCTGCTTTACCTATGAAATCCCATTCTTCCTTTGGATTTCCTTTCTAGTACACAAGCTACCCTTTGCTTACCATGATTTACATCCTTGCGCTACTCAGACTTAAATTTAGCAACTACTGATATCGTAGCCACCCATCCGAAACTTGGATAGATAGAAAAACAGCCATCTATTTTGCCTTTTTCCATATGAAGTTTCCTGCATGCATAATAGTTCCAAGGTTCGCCCCAAACAATGAATTCATCTATAAAAGCACCCCGCATACATATGTTTACTTATTTTCCGAAGAACAACATTTAACAATACTAAGAAAAGCACAAGAAGAACAGATGAAGCGAAGTAAGTAGGCATACAGGTCCTGATCGGGAGACCACAGGAACGCAGGCACTGTGGATGGCAAGGCTAACAGCCCATTTGGAATGAAAGCAACAAGAAGCAAGGTAACCAGCGGCACCACCATCGTCGGTACAGCTACTGCGTTTATCTTGTCCCTGGAACCATAAATACGACGAAAAATCACATCAACCGAGAAATCCCAGATTTTTCATACCCGGAAAAAAAAAAAAAGGATCCCAGATACGGAAGAAGTTAAAGAACAAGTATGGCACGCAAATTAGACACAAAACAGGAACATCCAAATTCAGCATTCTGGACCAATTATTGATCAAAACATAACCCGGATTTCCAGCACAAAAATAAAGATCGTGAGAATGAATTTGACAGAAGAAACAACAATTTAGAGCAAGAATTCAGAGACAGAGGGAAGCTTCTCGATCAAATAAGAAAATCAGCCACTACTTGCTAGATCGGTTCTAAAACAAAGACGGGATGAAGGATACCTAACTGAGCCGAGTCACCTGGACCAGTATTTTCAAACGATTCTGATCTATAATACAAACTGCGAAGCTGATCTTGGGATGCTGCTGGATCGAGATGCCCCCAAACTGTTTCAGATTCCACCGTGCCAATCGCATTCGTAAATAATTGATAATCATGTGGTATCAGTTGTTTTCCTATGGTTTTTTTTTTTTGCCCCGGGACGGAAGGAGGGGTCGCTCAGTATCGTGAAGTGGATTTCATGGGCCGAAACTTATTAAAGTTGGGCCTGTCCTAGTTTAAATTGTTATAATGGGCCGAGCAAATGAATCCATGCGGCCCAATTTATATCTTCAGTAAGGGTTCTCTTCAGCCCAGCCCACCTGGCACGTTTTTTTTTTTTGGTGATAACAACGTGGTTCTTTAAGTTTTCAGCATTTTGACCCAACCTGAGGTGATGGGACCAGATTGGGTTCGTCGGGCTAGCCAGGTTGCATAGGGAAAACTAGAGAGGAGGATTTGGGGAAAAAAATATTTATTAAAAATAATATTAAAAAGTATAATTATTTAGAAGAATAAAAACTAAAATATAGATATAAAAATACTAAATTGCCCTCGTCGGCGATTGTAGTCGACCACGAGTTAGAAACTGTGGCATGTTTCAGTCACTCATGAGGCAAATAAAGGTTCTTCATAAGTAAATATCCAAGTTGAACTCTACTCAAAAAAAAAAATATCCAAGTTGAATCCCTCCTTATATAGGCAGAGGATTGCATTATCTTTCTCATATTCATTCTCTTTTATATTTTTTTTTCTTACTATTTCCCTTTCTGACTTACACTCTTATCAATAAGAATATATTTTTTAAAAAATAAAATATCTATATTACATACTTATTAATTTTAATTAATATTTAAAAAAATTAAATCTCATAAAAATAATTAGAGTAAAAGTAGTACTCCATAAGTAAATATGAAAAATAAAGTAGGCCTAGTAGGATGCTAATAAGCCCTAGGAAGTGGACTTGTAATGGTTGGACATAGCCCAACATCTTAAACTCAATTTTATGTTTCTCAAAATTGGCTGATTTAATTAATATAATTACAAAACTACTCCATCTGCCCCTTTCTAAAATTGTCTTTTACAATAAGGGAGGGAGGGAGGGAGGGAGTACCTCCTAGTTATTTTAAAACATTTCATTATAGTTATTGATTATTAAGTCTCTTACATAGGGATGAGTTATTCTCATACTTCTCTTCGCTATATTCAGCTCTCTTCATTCTCTTTTTTTTTTTTTTTTGCTGAGTTATCGTTATTTTTATTAGAAAATGGGACTTAAATCATTCCTATGAAGTGGAATTCACTATATTTTTAAACAGACAAGCTTGTCATTGTTATATTCCAATATGCCATTCAACAAAGTCACAAGATATTTCAACTTTTCTCATTAGTTTTTTTTTTTTTGGCGAAAACCTCCCCTTGTTAATTAATCAGTAAACACATGCAATATACGGGATAATGAAATTCTTGATCCCTTAAATTTCTCTCTCAATTATTAATTTGGTTTTTGAAGTTTAATTTTCATCAACCAAGTCCCTATATTTTTGTAACAATGCACAATTAGTCATTGTATTTTGATCACAAGTAATTCTAAGCATATATGTGCTGTAACCTTTAACAACAGAATGGCAATCTCTCTATGAATTCTTCAAAGAAAAAATTGCTGATTGAGATTGAATTAGAATATAAAATTATGTATGGAACTTAAGGATTAAACTGATAAAAAATAAATTTTAGGATCCAAATCCTAACTAGCATAAATTCAATA